CCGCTCGCTTCAGGAGCATTTTTACGATGGATCCGTAGGGTCACTTCTTCAGAACGAGATCTCTCTGTCTTCAGACCAGAAGTCAGACCTTTGTTTTCCCTTTTGGCCACTACGTACACTCGGCAATACATCACCAAGATAATGGTCAGGGGGAGGTAGAAGGAGCCTAGAGCAGAGAACAACACGTAGCCAGGCTCCTCGGTGATTTGACAGATGGTCTCATCTTCTGGTGCTGGTTCCTTCCAGCCAAAAAGAGGTCCGATCGATATCACCAGGGACAATGCCCAAACGCACAGTAACGCCAGGAGGCCTCTCTTCTCTGTCACTATACTTGGGTATCTCAGCGGGTAGCTCACCCCGATGTATCTGTCTATCGAGATGATACAGAGGCTCATAATGGAAGCAGTGCAGCAAAGGACATCAACAGCTGCCCAGATGTTGCAGAAAATTCTCCCAAAGGCCCAGTAGCCCAAAATCTCCATAGTAGCTGAGAAGGGCAGGACAGTGGAAGTCAAGAGGAGGTCAGCTACAGCCAGGTTAATTATATAATAATGGGTGACACTCTGAAGATGTCTGTGGCAGGCTACAGAGAGGATAACCAGAATGTTACCCAGAACCCCAAAAACAATCAGCCCCCCTAGAATAACACCTAGTAAAATGGCCTTTGAAATGTTCACAGGTCCCACAGAGTGGGTGCAGTTGGAGCAGTCGGAGGAGTTTCCGGGGAGGAAAGCCATGGTGCGTGGCTGATAATGTTCATGCGAGGCTGTTGTACTTGACTCCCTTTTCAGGTAGAAAGAGTGATGGGATCAGTTCTTGGAAGGTCCCGCAGGCAACATTTGCCTGGCTTTGCTGGGGAAAAGAGTTTTTAAGAATGTCTTAGAAGTGCAGCACCAGGAACAATGAGAAGGGTCCGGAAACATATTAGAAAGTCTACCTTTCTCACTAAGCTTTTACCATTACCATAGCACAGTTAATAGACACCATTTCCAAGTCAAATTTAACTCCTTTCACATTTTTCTTGGGGTGCAGAAGTGAGACTACATAAAACTGAGGCTATTTATCCTACTTTCCAGGATTACATGATGAGAAATACTGGATTTGCAGGTTAAAATCATTTCTGCCTTCTTGGGAAGATTCAATATTTAAGTAACATAAATATTCCAAAGGGTCTAAAATTTAGGTTTCTCCCAAGAGGAAATCACTGATGCTTTTAATTACCTTGTGTTAGGCCTGATTCTGCCTTACAACTGCCTTAGAAGAAACCTGACTAGGTGGAGGCTGCTGTTGCTGTGTCTGCTCAGGAATGTTGTTTGAGATACCTGCAACCACCCATCTTCAGGGTCTGAAGTGTCAATCAAAGCTTCTCCATGCTGTGGAGCAGTTGTCACTTGAGCTCCTGGGCTGTGAATTAAAGTTGGTCTACATCAGCTTCTGCCTTGCTCTGAAGGGGAGAGTGAAGTTTGCCGTGTCAACGATGTGTGTTGTTGTGCTCTTTGCAGATCATCACCCCCCTGAAGGAGACAAAGACAGGAACAATATGATTCCCAGAAGTAACGTTCATTTACTGCTATGGTTCCCATATAAGAATAGAGCGGGAGGCTATTTTAGGGAGCCTTCCTCGGGCTGGCTCCAGCCAGTGGAACCAACCTTTTTCAGCCCAGTATTTAACAACAACAAAGAGACCAGAGTGGATGTTGTTGCCTGAATTTTCTCACCATGTTCTCAGCAGCAGCAGTCTGTTCTCCTTTAGGGATAGCAATCAATCCTAATTATCAGTTCACCTGCAGAGACCTGTTCTAGGAGAGGTGGAAACCTGTGGGACACAATTCAGGGCTACAAACTGTGAAGCAGATTTATAAGTCCAGAATTTAGTCTAAGATTTCTTTATTAAGTGACTCCTTTACCCACTGAACTGCTCATTAGTCCAGCTAAACTGCCCATCCTACAAATCTATAGGGAAAAGCAATTCCTGCCAAGCAGAAGAT